ACACCCACACACACAGAGAGAGAGAGAGAGAGAGAGAGAGAGAGAGAGAGAGAGAGAGAGAGAGAGAGAAAATTAAAAAACATTTTAGCTGGACAGTGGTAGTGCATAGTGCATGTTTTTAATCTCTGTACTCTACTCAGGAGACAGAGACAGGAAGATCTCTAAGTTCAAAGCCAGCCTAGTCTACAGAGTGAGTTTCAGGATAGTCAGAGCTACACAGAGAAACATTTCTCAAAAAATTTTAAATTTTAATATTTTAGATTGTGTCCTTCTAGTCCTTTCGTTTTGTGAGGTTTTAAAATTTTTTAAATTTTAAAAAATTAAATGAGAACCTGTTTTAAATTGGAATTTTTAAAATTAATTAAATTGGATTAATTAATTAATTAAAAAATGAATTTTAAAAATTCATTTTTTATTTAATCCCAGCACTTGGGAGGCAGAGGCAGGCAGATTTCTGAGTTCGAGGCCAGCCTTGTCTACAGAGTGAATTCTAGGACAGCCAGGACTACACAAAGAAACCCTGTCTTGAAAAACCAAAAAAAAGAAAAAAAGAAAAAGAAAAAAAAAAGAAAATTCCTTTTTTAATTTTAAAAATTAAAAAACAAAATCTTTAAATTTGTAATTATATGTATGCTGTGTGTCTGAGTGTGTTTGCACGTATGTATGCTGTGCCCACAGAGGCCATAAGATGGCATTAGATTCTCTGAAGCTGAACTTACAGATGGTTATGAGCTTCCCCCATGTGGAATGCTGGGAACTCACTTTGGGCCCCCTACAAAAATAGTGCTCACTCTGAGTCATCTCTCCAGCCTCTCCTATATACTTCATTATTTTAAGACAGATTTTCAATACATTTCCCAGAGTAAGACAATTGTAGTGGTATATTCCTTTGTTTTGAGACAGATTCTCAATACATTTCCCAGAGTGAGCCAATTGTAATGGTACATTCCTGTAAATCCAGCACTTGTGAAGCTAAGGAAGGAAGGTAGCTGAATTTAAAGCCAGCCTGAGCTACACACTGAGACTTTATCTCAAAGAAACAAAGATGCTCAGGCTTCCTTGAAGTCACTCTGCAGCTCGGGTAGGCTTTGAACTTGTGACCTTCTGTCTTTGCCTCTTGAATAGCTGGGCTTACAGATCTGTACTGTCCTGCCTGGACTTACATAGGTGAACTTATTCTTGTGTTCTTTTTCTTTTATCCCTCTTGGGCAGTGCTAAGGATCAAATTCAACTGTGTGTGTGTTAGGCAAGTACTCTACAAATGGGCTACACTCCCAGCCCGTCCTATGTCTTCTTTTTGAGTTAACCTTAAGTCACAACCATTTATTGAATTCAAATGTAAGGACTACTGCTGTGTTTGCATATACTTGTAATCCTGTCTCTTTGCAGGCTGAGGTAGGAAGACAGTGAGTTCAAGGTCAGCCTGGCCACCTGTAAGAACCCTGTATAAAAACATTTCTTTGTAATTAAACTTAAGTATGAAAATTAGAGCTGTAGGATGGCTCAGAGGGGAAAGGTATCTGCCAGGAAGTTGTCCTCTGTCTTATAAATACACAGACACAGTACATAAATAATAATAAAAAAAATCAAACCACTCTGATAGTTACCAAGAAAAAAACAAACAAACAAATCCTTAATCATGTTTTACAAAAGACCTAGCAATTCTATTCCTAGATGTCTACCCAAGAGAAACAAATGCATGGTACATATACAATATACACACAAAGATTCATATGTAAGTGTTCATAGCAGCATTATTTATAGTCATCAAAGATGTCACTATGATATCTGTTAGCCAGTGAATAGATAAACATCTCTACAGTGGAAAATTAACAATGTAAGGAAGCAGGTAGGGGAGGCCAGACTGAATGAGGATGCGTTCTGCAACATGAATGAACCTTGGAAACATTGTAGCAGTCAGCCACAGAAGGCCACATTTTTTTTTCTTTTTTGTTGTTTTTGGGTTTTCAAGGCAGGGTTTCTCGGTGTATCCCTGGCTGTCCTGGAACTCACTTTGTAGACCAGGCTGGCCTCGAACTCAGAAATCCACCTGCCTCTGCCTCCCAAGTGCTGGGATTAAAGGCATGCACCACCACCGCCCGGCAGAAGGCCACATATTGAAGGAGTTCATGCCCATGGAAAATCCGGAATAGCTGCATAAGAACCAGAGAGTAACTGAGTGGCTGCCTGGGAAGGGAATAGGAAGGACTGGACACGGGCCCCAGGGAGCTCTGGGGTGATGTAGCAGTTCTAAAATAGGATTGTGATAATGTTGCACAATTCTGTACATTTACTAAAAATCATTGCTTTACAAAAAACATAGCAGTCTAGTGCCTTTTATGGTATATAAATTACAACAGCCAGGTATGATGGTACACCCTATGATCACAGCACTTAGGAGGCCAAGGCAGGTGAATTTAAGAGTTCATGGCCAACATGTGCTACACAGCAAGATCAAACAAACAAATAAAGATTATAACTAAGAAAACTTTTCTTAAAACATCACATGGTGATTTTTTGCCTTTGGCCTATAAGTCTACAGGGAAGAAAGAGCTTCCCCTGGTAGCAGGAACATTTTATAGGAACCTTTGGAATTTTATTTTATTTTATTTTTGAGACAAGGTTTTCTTTGTTTAGTCCTGTCTGTCCTGAAACTCACTTTGTTGGCTAGGCTGGCCTCTAACTGACAGAGATCCACCTGCCTCTGCCTCCTGAGTGCTGGGATGAAAGACTAGATTCTTTCCTCACAGCAAGAGTTCCTCAGATATTGCTGCCTTTCAGAACCATGTCTTTGCTGGGCTCGTGTGGTAAAGGGACAAATGAAAAGCTTAAAGAAGCTCACTGTGGGGCTGCAGAGGTCACTCACTAGTTAAAAGCACTGGCTCAAAAAAAATAAATAATAAATAAATAAATAAAAATAAAAATAAATAAATAAATAAATAAATAAAGATTAAAAAAAAAAGCCAGGCGGTAGTGGCGCATGCCTCTAATCCCAGCCCTTGGGAGGCAGAGACAGGCAGATTTCTGAGTTCGAGGCCAGCCTGGTCTACCAAGTGAGTTCCAGGACAGCCAGGGCTACACAGAGAAACCCTGTCTCGAAAAACAAAACAGAAAAAAAGAAGAAAGAAAAAGAAAAACCAAAAAAAAAAAAAAGATTAAAAGCACTCCTCTTCTAAAGGTTCAATTCCTTGTATCTACATGAAGGCTCAACTGCCTGCAATTCCAGTTCCAGGGGATCTGACATCTTCTTCTGGCCTCTGAAGGCACCAGGCCACATGTGATGCACGGACTAAACACCCATACATGTAAAATAACTTAGAAAATAACAACAACAATAACAAATTCACTATGGCGTTGAAGAACGAGTGGGAAAGACCCACGGCGATTGACCATAGAGCAGTGTGAGCCCTGTTCCAGGAGTATCAGGTACTCTAGTGGGCGTGGTCAGGATGTGCACTCAGCTGAGCCATTTTACTGACCTCTGCATGGTTTTTCTATTGATGCTTTTCTATCACTTAAAATCATAGTATGATTTTAGATCCTGCATTTCTCAGTTATTAAAGCCTGTCAATGATCAATAAGAGCAGGACATAATGATGGGTATGTATGAGTGTCCCCTGTTAAACCCATCATGCTGTATGCCAGCTTTAAAAAATAATTTTAAAAACATATCTGTCAATCTGGATACAGTAACTCACACCTGTAATTCAAGCACTTGTGAGGCAGAGGCAGGAGGGTCTGTGAGTTTGAGGTCAGTCTGATCTACGGAATGAGTTCCAGACTAGCCAGAGCTACATAATGGGACTCTGTCTCCAAAACAAGCCAACAAACTAACAAATGACTTCTCATCGCTTTCTAGGCTGCTTAACATTCCTGTGTACTGATCTCAGACTGTTGTATATACAGTTGATACTACTTCAGTGTTTATGAACATCTTAAGCCTCTTTTTTGGACAATATTTTCTTTATTTTTATATGTGTGGGTATTTTGCCTGCATGTATGTCTGTGTACCACTTGCATTCAGGACTCACTGAAGTCAGAAGAGAGTATTAGATTCCTGAAACTGGAGTTAAAGATAGTTGTGAACTCTGTGTGGATGCTGGGAATTGAACCTGAGACCTCTGGAAGAGCAGCCAGTGCTCTCAACTGCTGGGCCATCTCTCCAGCCCATATCTTAAGTCTTTTGATTCTTACTGTATCTCACTTCTCAAAAAACATCAGTTTGTACACTTTACCCCAAATCTCTGGTGGTGAAAGTACAGGACCAAACTCCAGTTTGTCTCCCTTTTATTAGTTTACAAAAAAAAGACATTTTCCCAGAAGGCCCAGCTGATTGTAATGGTCTGAGTGTTGGACAATGACTCAGATTCCTTGTTTTCAGTTTTCAAAATGTCGTGTATGCTTCCTTTCCCTTCCAGGGCGAGACCAACAGGATCATTGCCTCGCACACGATGAACAAGAACTCATCCAGGTCACACTGCATTTTCACCATCTACATGGAGGTTTGTTCACCAGAGAAGGACCAGTGACTCCTGTTGGTGCTACCAAGTCAGATGCTCCTCCCAGGGCATTCTGAATTGTTTGGATGTTTTTGTAGGCCCATTCTCGGACCTTATCGGATGAAAAGTATATCACTTCCAAAATCAACCTGGTAGATCTGGCAGGCTCAGAGAGGCTCAGCAAGACAGGGGTAAGTGAGGGGGGTGGGTAGCTCATCATCTAGCCACAGACCCTGTGGCTTAGATCCTGTGTGTATGAATATCCCACACTGGATGCTTGAGAACAACCAGATGAAGTGGAGTGCTTTTCTAACCATTATTTGAGATGATTCCTCTTAACATAATGCCTATGTTGGAAGTAAGCCTGGGGTTCGGGACCTTACCTGTATCTCACAAAGGGAAAGTAAAGTGGCAAGTAGGCTTTTACTTTTGTGGAAGAGTACATTGCTTCCGTCAAGTAAGAAGCACACCCAACCAAAAACATGATAGGTTTTTATCCTAACACAAGAGGGCTGTCTATGTCTTTTCTCCTTTGGCTGGAATCTGACTTCACAGTCTTTGATGACTGGTTTTGAAACTTGGTGTGAAAGAAATGAGGGAAAGGTCCAGCCTCTCTGGATCAACAAATTCTGAAACTACAGCAGGGTCTTTGCTAAACAAACAGCTTTACACGGTAGAGAGATGGCAATCGCATCACAAAGGTTTTTCTCCTGGGAGCATTCTTCTGATAGGAAAGAATTGGGTTCCTTGTAATTACTCCTAACCTGTGTTCAAGTGCTCAGGAACTGCTCACACTCACACCAGTGCTCACACTGGCATGGCATTTCTCTGTGTATGAATGTGAAAGAATTCACATACATATTTAATTTCAAATACATATTTGCAAAGGTATTTTAACACAAAATTTCACAAGAGTATTTAGATGAGTATTTGTGTGTGTGCTACTATATTTATGTGAATATTCATCGGCTTACCTGCTCGGGTATTTTGTGTTCATTTGTACACGTAGATGTGAGTGTCGTATGAATATTCATGTGCATCTTCTTACTCCCATCAACCTTCATATGAACGCTCCTGTGAGTTTTACTGTGACCATTATCAGTAACCCAAGATGGAAAATATTCCCAACTTGGAGGAAAAGGTCCCGGTTCTAGGCCTGGCTTTGGACTTTCACATCACTGTAAACCAGGAAGGGTTGGCAACCTTGCAACCTTGATAGGGTAGCCTCCCTATTCTGTCCAGCGTGACCCAGACCTTTTTTTTTTTTTTCTTTTTTGCAGTCAGAAGGTAGAGTCTTAAAAGAAGCCACCTACATCAACAAGTCACTGTCATTCCTAGAGCAGGCCATCATTGCCCTTGGGGACCAGAATCGGGACCACATTCCTTTCCGGCAGAGCAAGCTTACCCATGCCCTGAAAGACTCCTTAGGTAAGGGTGTGCATGGTCCTCAGAGGAGAGGTTGTGTCCTGGGGAGGAGTAGGCCTGGCTCGTCTGACATTAGGGATCACAGATCACTGTGACCCAGGGGAATGAGCTTACTGCGGCTCTTCAGCAATGATGGCCGTCAGACACATGAGACAGACCTTCGTGCACTCTTGCTGCTAGAATCTTTATTCAAGCTTTTGCTTCTGCTGGGAATATTTTCTCTTTCCACCTTGTCCCTAAACTGTTTGGCATAGACCTTTGTGGCTTTGGAGACTCAGGGAAAGGGCCTCTCCTATCATTTCCCCATGTCCTTTACACCTTCCTGGACACAACAGTGGGAGCCACCTTGTCATCGCCACCTGTGTCAGGCTTTGTCAGGGCTAATGACACAGCCACTGGTTTCTGGTCATTAGCCCTGTGATACCATGCGCAAAGTCTGAGCTGACACCTTCCCTCCTGAGCTTGCCCCAGTCTCCTGAATTGTGTCTACTGTTCTGTCCTGGTTCTTTCTGTGTACATCTTATGGTTTTTCTCTGTTCCTACCTCTGTCTCCTGCATCATAGCCTCCTGCAGACTAGGGTTGTCTCCGTTTTCTCTAAATCAGCATGGGCTGTTAAAACAAAGCACTACAGATGGGAGGCTTAGATGACAAACACATTCCTTGTAGCTATGTGGACAGTGAGGGCCAGGACCGAGGTGTCAATAGATTTGGTTCCTTCCTTGCAGATGGCCGCTTCTTGGCCATATCCTCACCTGGAGAGAAAGAAGTGGCTCTGCTTTTTCTTTTCTTACAAAGACAGCCACCCCATCCCAGGGGCTGCACACACAGACCTCATCTAAAAGTGATTACTATCAAAGGCTCCGTTCCAAACACATCGGACGGGGTGTTTGGGATTTTAGAGGTTATAAATTTTGTGGGGATACAAGCATTGAGTCCATAACAGAACCCTGTCAATCCTAAAGGAATCTCTCATGTCCCTTTCTGCAGGGGGAAACTGCAATATGGTCCTCGTGACAAACATCTACGGAGAAGCTGCCCAGTTAGACGAAACGGTATGTAGAGACAGCCAGTGCAACCAGGCTGCAGTTTCTCCCCATGGGTGCGGAGGGTGAGGGTGGGGCATGGATAAGGTTGGATCCAGACTGGCTCAGAGGGTGCACTATCCATGGTATTGTTAGAGACCCCAAGGACAAATCTGAGCCACAACTGCTGAGTGTGACAGAGACCAGGATGCAAACACCAAGCAATAAACCATGTTAAGAAAGAAGCCACGGGCTGGCGAGATGGCTCAATGGTTAAGAGTACTGACTGCTCTTCCAGAGGTCATAAGTTCAAATCCCAGCACCCACATGGTGGCTCACAACCATCTGTAAGGGGATCGGATGCCCTTTTCTGGTGTGTTTGAGGACAGCTACAGTGCACTCATAAATAAATAAATAAATAAATAAATAAATAAATAAATAATCTCCTGGGCGGTGGTGGCACATGCCTTTAATCCCAGCACTTGGGAGGCAGAGGCAGGCGAATTTCTGAGTTCGAGGCCAGCCTGGTCTGCAGAGTGAGTTCCAGGACAGCCAGGGCTATACAGAAAAACCCTGTCTCAAAAATAAATAAATAAATAAATAGATAGATAGATAAATAAATAAGAAAGAAATAAGCCCACGTGTAAGACAGACTTAACCTTGGGGGCTTATTATACAAGGAGGGCACAGTGAGAGCACTTTTGTGGGGACAAAGAACATGTTTTCAGGGGTGCAGCTCATGTGAGTTGAATAGTTCAGTAGAGATACAGCAGAACCCTCCTTGCAGAAAGAGAAGCCCTGGTCCTAAGTCATGTCAGAGTCCTGGGTGGGCGAGACCTTCAGAGGTGGCCAGAGAGGGAAAAGGACTTCCCTGCCACGAAGCTTGGGTGGGTACTGAGCTGGGTGGCATTAACATGTTGGCAGCAGGATGCACAAGTGTTACTGGTAGAGGTGATGACAGAACTGAGTGTGTGACTCATGCCAGGAGAGTCTTCCCCCTCCACAGGAGGGCTTAAGACGGAAGGACAGGAAAATTGCAGGGCCTTGATGTGTCTGGAAAGGCCGAGCCCTTGGCTGTTCTGCACGTGGCTGGAGCCACGATAGACTTTGAAAAGGGGAGAGCTGTACACAAATGGGACTCGGAGACAATCCAGGGGCAGGACACAGGTGTCCTGAAAATGACATGAGAATGTCACACAAGAAGAATAAGGTGAGTCCATTCCAGGTTGGGTTTCCCCTCTAAAGTAACCCTTGTCATAAGACAGTTAGGAAAATGTGTCCCTAGCTATGTTATTGTTGCAAATGTTGAAGACAAGCTTCAACTATCTGGAGAATTCATTTAGGTGAAATGGGTCATTTCCAGGGATGTGAGGCAAGATTCGACTTTAGGGCCTCCAGCCTGTATGCATTAGGGACTGTCCCAGCACAGGGAGAGTGATCTTGCCACATATTCAGTGCGCTGGGACTTGGGAGGCCAAACCAAAGGGCTCCAGCTGACGTGAGACAGCACCTCCAGGGAAAGGTCTGGAACCTCCTGGTCTCATCACATAACAAAGCACAACTGAGCCCCAAGAGGAGCTCGAACGACTTTGACTTCTAGGCTGCCTTATTAAGAAAACTACCCTTGAGAACTCTATCCATGCTGCTTTGGGGAGGTCATCACCCACGCTGGGACATTTTAATCATGGCCCATTTGGGAATCACTCCATGTCTTTCTGTGATAGGAAGACATGATGGCAGATACAGGGGTCAAGGCACTTGAGTGGCTTTGTAGTAAGCATTCTTATTGTAGTATTGCTTTAAGAATGAGCCTTGGAAGCTGGGGCGGTGGTGGCACACGCCTTTAATCCCAGCACTTGGGAGGCAGAGGCAGGCAGATTTCTGAGTTCGAGGCCAGCCTGGTCTACAGAGTGAGTTCCAGGACACCCAGGGCTACACAGAGAAACCCTGTCTCGAAAAACAAAACAAAACAAAAAACCCAAAACAAACAAACAAAAAAACAAAAGAATGAGCCTTGGAAAGCTGGGTGTGGTAGCACACGCCTTCAATCCCAGTACTCAGGAGGCAGAGGCAGGAGGATCTCTGTGAGTTTGAAGCCTGGTCTATAGAGTGAGTTACAGGCTGGCCAAGGCTACTTAGTGAGACCCTATCCCAAAACAAAACAGATGAGCCTTGGGGTCAATCAATGGCTGTTCCTCTTGACACGTAATTCGTATTTAACTAAAAAGCACACAAAGGGAAGGCAAAGAGTATTTTAATAAAATGGAAGGCAGTTCTTGCTTCTAACCAGGCCCAGATTATTTTAATATTCTAGCGATTCAGTTTCCTCCTGAGTTATTCAGTCCTACAAGACAGTGATTGTATATTCTGTAGACTCTTTTTGAGTACCTCTTTGTCTCTTAATCCTTGTGCCCAAATATCTATTTAAAAATACCTTTAATAAACTCTAACTCTGCTACATTACAAGGAAAAAGAAGAAGAGAAAAGATAAGATAACTTCCAGCACAGTTTAAAGCCCCCATCCTCCCATCTCCACTCCTGAGATAGTCAGAGCACAGGAAGCAGTTCTCATGACCCTCAAGATCTCCATGCTCTTAGTCCCACACTGCCCAGGCGCTCCGCCCAGGTCTGGATCCACAGGCCCAGAAGTGGGGTCTTAGGGGTTTGGTGAAGGTGTATGAGGGTATGGATGCTAATGAATCTCTTCTCTAAATGTTAAAAGAATAACTAACACATTCCTGTTATGCACTGTATTATTCTATGTAATACCGTGTGTATGTGCATGTGTGTGTGTGCGTGCGCTGGTGTTGGGGACCGGTGCCCTGAAGCAAAAGCAACAGTCATGTTTGGAGCAGAGTCTGATTTGGATCTCACAAAACTAGCACGTGTAACAACAATTAGGCTTCTTCTGAGAGCTCTCTTTACAGAGATATCAGAAATTGCACACTGAGTCTCCTAAGGATTCATAAGGCAGGCCTCCCATCCCTGTAGAAGGAAGTGGTGAGATTTATATAAGGTCATTCAAATGTCCAGTGGCAGAGCACTTAACCAACCAAACACCACTGAGGAAGAAATTTATCAGTCCTTCTTGGAGCCACTGCAAGGTGACCCATCCCCATTGCAAGCCTGTTCCTAGTCTCAAGGCCTCTTCACTGACAGTTGGTCCAGCATTATGGGAGGCTCCGTTCTCAGGGCCTGCCTTGTGCTCCACCCTCACCTAACACCTGTGGATTGAGGCTGTTTCCAGGACACCTACTCACATGGCTGCTCATGGCCTCTAGCCATTATGGCCCAGAAGTCACTTAGGAGATGTCAAGTCTGCTTTGGAACAGCTACTGCTTATGTGTATTCCTCCTCCTCCTCCTCCTCCTCCTCCTCCTCCTCCTCCTCCTCTTCGTCTTCTTCTTTTTCCTCCTTTCCTCTTCTCCTTCTCCTCCTTTTTCTTTTTTTGGGGTGTGGGGGACATTTCTTGAGAGTCAGGCCATCAGATTCGTGTGGTGTCCTGGTTTTCTTTTTTTGCAGTGATAGAAGACGAGCCGAGGCCAGAGGGGATGTTAGGTCTCTTCTTCTCTTGCTATCCACCTTATTTTTGAGGCGGATTCTTTCGAAGAACCTATATCTTACTGCTTTGGCTAGGCTGGCTGGTCAGTGAACTGCTTGATTCACCTGTCACTGTGCCCCCCAACACTGGGGTACAGGGACACATTCTTAGTCAATATCTGACTTTTACATGGGTGCAGGGGATTTGAACTCAGGTCCCCTTGCATTCACCACAAGCGCTCTTACCCATGGAACCATCTCCCCAGCCCCTACCATGTTTTTTTTTGTTTGTTTGTTTGTTTGTTTGTTTTGGAGGTGGGGACAGGATCTCTCATTAACCTGGAGGTAGCTCATTAAGGCTAAGATAGCTGGCCAACAAACCGCAAGGATCTACCTGTCTGTACCTTACCAGGTTTGAGATTGTAAGCTCATGCTACTACACAGGCTTCTCTGTGTTCATTCTGGGAATCAAACTCAAGTTCTCGGGTCCCCATGTTTATGCAGCCAACTACTTTATCAACTGAGCCCTTTTCCCCAGACACATGTGGCTTATTTGCTAGGTATGGTGGCACAGCCTTTAATTCCAGCACTCTAGAGGTAGAGGCAAGCAGAAGTCTGTGAATTTGAGGCCAGCCTGCTCTCCGTAGAGGGTTCAAGGACATCCAGGGCTACATATAAAAACCAGTCACAAGAGCATACAAACAAAAAAGCAAACAAAGAAAACTGTAATAATGAATATGCATATTATGTCTTTTAGATTTCACTGATCTAGTCCAAGAGAAATAGCTAAGGAAGAGCAGAAGGCACCTCCTGTAGGAGGGACAGCATGCCTGTGCCTTTCATGGGAAGGAGAACCTGAAAAGCTTTGTGCTGGAAGCTGGTTTCTAATTGTGCCTTAATGAGCACAGAATAGAAGAGGACAGGAGGAGAGGCAAGAGCACCTTAGGCAGGGACAGCCTGAGCACAAGGGGTCTGGATGAAGCTGGGAGGCATGGGTTAAAAGTTGGAACAGTGTGGAGCTAAGGATGCTCATCAGTGTAGAAAGCTTGTCTAGTAAGCACAAGGCCCTGGACGTGCTCACCAGCACTGCAGAAGAACAGTAAAAGAAACAGACCAGTTTGCAGCAGGTGTGGTGGCTCACGGCTTTAATGCCAGCATTGGGGAGGCAGAGGAAAGGCGGGTGGCTCTCTGTGAGTTTGAGGCCAGCCTGGACTACAGAGTGAGGCCCTGTCTCAAAGAAAGTATATCTTCTTGGAGGCCTTCAGACTGTGGGGTCTTCAGAGGGGCAGACACAGTGATGATCTGCCCTGTTGCCCTGGGTGCAGCAGATTTCCTAGGAGGAGTGGAGGAAGAGAAAGGGGAAAGAAGGGAAGGAGGGGGAGAGAAGAGATGGACTAGGGTCTAGGTAGTGCTCTAGATAAGGACCCAGTGACAGCATGGGCCTCTATCACCTTCCTGTTCCTACTGTTCCATTCTCTACTGAAGACCTCATCTCCAAGGTCTTGCTTGTTTATTAAGATTATTTTTGTTGTTTGTGTATGTGAATATGTGGATGTGGATGTGAGCACAGGTGCCCATAGAGGCCAAAGAGGGTATCAGATCTCCCTGAAGGTAGAGTAATAGGCCATTGTGAGCCACCTGATCTGAGTACTGGGAACTGAACTTGGGTCCTTTGGAAAAGCAGCAAGCTCTTTTAACCACTGAGCCTTCTCTCCAGCCTTATTTATGTATTTTTGATACTGAGTCTAATGTAGCTAAGACTAGCCTCCAACTTGATATGTAGCTGAGGATGATCTTAAACTCCTGCTCCTGTTGCTACTACCTCATAGGTGTATCCTTTTTAATTTTATACTATGGTATGGATTGGACCAGACTGGACTACGTATTGAGTTTTGCCAAGCAAAACTCATGAGGACCTCCACTTGCTAATAGTGTCTATATCACTCAGTCTTCAGACCCCACAAATGCCCTTTTGTTCACTGTCCCCTTGAAGAGGTGAACTAATACCAGGTAAGGCAACTGGAAGAGTTTAAGGAGTTTAAGCCCCATGAGAAGGCTGATCTTTAGGGTCTTGTGTGATTGGTGAGCCACCTGACATCTCTCTGATCTGTTTTCAGCTATCTTCATTGAGGTTTGCCAGCAGGATGAAGCTGGTTACCACTGAGCCTGCCATCAACGAGAAGTATGATGCTGAGGTACTAAGGGGCTGATGGGTGCTTCCCAACTCTGGGAATGCTGTCTGTGGGTTTGTTCCCTGTGTGTTTGCTACCATGCAAGTATCCGCTGGAGGTCATAAGGGAAGTCAGACTTGTGTGGTTTCTTTCCTACCTCCACTGAAGTTTTGCTTGGAGTCCTGGTCAATCCTTTTCCTTTCTGTGATAAACCAGTGTCTTTAAGAGTCCCTGGAGACCCCAATAGACTGCCACAAATGTGAAAGGGAAGATGATCTACCACTCAGCTCACATGCAGAGGTTCAGGGACTTGGGTATCCCAGGATTCCCCAGGAGATTCCTTAGAGCTGAATCAGCATACATTGTTGTCTCTCAGAGTTGCCTGCCTGTCATGATAGAACACATTTATTTTGTGTGTGTATATGTGTGCATGTATATGTGTAGGCACATGAGTGAAGGTCAAAGGACAACTTGTAGGAGTCAGTTTTCAGGAAGATCATGAGTTCAAAGACAGCCTAAGTTCCATGAGACAGTCTCAAAAGTCGATCCACTGGAGAGATGGACTCAGTGATTAGAGGCGTTTACTGCTCTAACAGAGGACCTGGATTCCATCCCCAGCATCCACATGGCAGGTCACAACCATCTGTAACTCCAGTTCTAAGGAAGCCAATGTGCTCTTCTGGCCTCCCTGGGAACCAGGCACAAACATGGTGCACACACTCGCACATACATACACATGCACGCATGTGCGTATGCATGCACAGATACATATGTGTAAAATAAAGATAAATCATTTTTTAAAAAGCAGACTTAAAAGCAACCAAATATACTTATGAAATCATGGTCACTGGAAATGGACATGTGTATGTCCCTGTGTTCCTGGCAAAATGGTTAAACATTTCTAGATCCTTTTTTTTTTTTTTAGGTTTTTCGAGACAGGGTTTCTCTGTGTAGTCCTGGCTGTCCTGGAACTCACTCTGTAGACCAGGCTAGCCTTGAACTCTCAAACTCAGAAATCTGCCTGCCTCTGCCTCCCAAGTGCTAGGATTAAAGGTGTGCGCCACCACTGCCTGGCACATTTCTAGATTCTAAACCCTGAAGGATGATGCCATCATAGAACTAAACATGGTTTAGCTGGAAAGTAGAGCTCAGAGTTCTGGTTCTTAAACTCAGTGAGAGTTAGAAGCACCTAACCAGCTAAACCCCTGTCTATTCTGAGCTCCTGATTCTGTTGATGGTAGAGCCTGAGTATTTCCTTCCTTCCTTCCTTCCTTCCTTCCTTCCTTCCTTCCTTCCTTCCTTCCTTCCTTTTCTCTTCTGGTTGTTCTTCCCCTTGCCTTCCATTTTGTGACATGGTCTCATTATATAGCCCAATGTGGCCTCCATTTCCTGTTCCTCCTGCATCATTCCCTGTGTGCTAGCATTATGGCCTTGCACTATCACAGTTCAGTGATGATTTATGTTCTTGAGTTTACAGTTGCTCATTTGCTATTTCTGGGTTGGACCACTTCTGTTCAGTGACTTGCTCCTTCCTTATCTGCAGAGCCTTTTTTGAGTGTATATGTGTGCAATGTGTGTAGTATGTGTGTGCGTTATGTGTGTGTACAATGTTTGTGTGCACACGCATGCTTGTGTGTTCATGCATGTGTGTGCAAGTGGATGTGTACATTATGTGTGTGGGCACAGGAGGTGTTTTCAAGACCCTGAATTGTGGGGTCTGTTTCTGCAGCCCTGTTTCCAGGCAGCTTCTCCCAGCAGTAGGAGAGGCTGCTACATCAGTCAAGCATTAGGAAAGAAGGTCCCTTGTTCTCAGGGTAAGTTGGAGGCTGGTTTTCCCAAGAGGATCCACTACCCAACTCACCTTCTGATTGGACCACATATGTCCTCTGTGATAGATACACTCAGCAGAGTCATCCAGCAGCAGGTGCCAGCATCTCAGCCAGACTTTTCTGTATCTGGGGCATAATGTCTTTCTTAGAGTGGGGAGGATGAGGTGGCTGAGAATAGTCACCAAGCCTTTCTCCTTGGCCCCAAAGACAGTCCATACTAGAAGGAGGCCTATTTGGTGTTTCCTAAAAGGCTGAGCCTGGATTTAGATTCTGATCACATGCCTCAGGCTTTGTGTCTAAATTGCCACAGAGCCACCATGATGCCAGAGGTCTGTTAGCCCTTGCTGTACACTCACATGGCAACAGCGAGCCTCTGTACCTAGGTGATCTGACTGAATGAGGCTAGACTATAGCAGGCCTGCCGTGTGAGAAGCCCATAGACCTGTGGTTAGACACTGCTGTGGTCTCTTGTTTTGGCAGTAGCTCCTTCCAGTGGTCATTTTCTGACAATGAAGAGCCTGTTCATGGTAAGAGGTCTCTAAAAATTTCCTTGGGCCTCTGGTACAAAATATCAAATGTGACTTGGCAAATTCTCTTTTTGGTTTTTTGGGACAGGTTTGCTCTGTGAGGCCTGGCTGTAGCTCTGTGTAGAGCTCTGTGTAGGCTGACCTTGAACTCAGAGATCCACCTGCCTCTGCCTCCTTAGTGCTAGGATCAAAGGCAGACACCACTGGCTGGCAAGATTTGGCACATTCTGTTGCTCAAAATTTATCATTTCTAGACTGGAGAGATTGCTCAGAGGTTAAGAACACTGCTCTTATAGAGGTCCTTAATTCAATTCCCAGTAACTTCATGGTTGCTTATAACCATCTGTAATGAGATCTGGTGTGCTTTTCTGGCCTGCAGGCATATATGCAGGCAGAACACTATATACATAATAAATAAATCTTAAAAAAAAACTATCATTTCTCAGTACTTGAATCTATGATGTGTTCTCTGCCAGTCATTTTTCTTTTTCTTTCTTCCCTCCTTCTTCTCTCCTCTTCATCCTTTTTAAAACTTTTGTGACAGTTGCAGGATAGCCCAGGCTAGCTTCTATGCTATGTAGCCAACTAAAGCCAGCCTGGGCTATTGATCTTCCTGCCTCCATCTACCAAGTGTTAGGATTACATGCATACAGCAGCACACATGACTTTACCTTTCTGTGGTGTTAAGGCTTGACCCCAAGAGTTGCACATGCTAGCCAAGTGCTCTGCAACTAAGTCCTGCCCTGGTCCAAAGAGTGTCCATTTATAAAAGCGGACACTAGGAAGTGCTGGACAAATCACTGGGCTGTGCATGTGAAGGGTGTAGCTTGTCCTCGGACCATTCCTCAATCTCTCTGCTCTCTGGCCATCATGAGGTGAAGAGCTTGGCATCAGCACCCTCGCCCTTCCATCACATTAGACCTCGTTTTGGACCCAAAGCAATTTGTTGAGATTTGCTTGTTTGTTTTTGAGACAAGGTCTCACTATGTAGCCCTGGCTATCCTGGAAACCAAGAATACACTTTATATGTTGGCAGCAATAACCAGGATATCTGGGTCCAAATTAAGAAGTTGAGCATTTGGCTGGTGTGGTGGTACATGCCTTTAATCCATCACTCTGGAGACAGAGGCAGGTAGACCTCTGTATGTTGGAGGCCAGCCTGGTCTGAGTGAATTTCAGGACAGCTAAGGCTACACAGAGAAACTCTGTCTTGAAAAAAAAAATAGAAAGAAAAAAAGCAAAGAAAAAGCAAAGGAAATTGGGCATTCGCTATGAAGGAACTGAGTGGTTCTTCTGATGACCTTCTTCCCTGTTTGTTATGTTTCCCTGGCAGAGAATGGTCAAGAATTTGGAGAAGGAACTGGCATTGCTTAAGCAGGAACTGGCCATCCATGATAGTCTGGTAAGGGATTGGATGGGGCAGGGGAACTTGTTGGGGACAGAGACCAGGGGCAAACAGCATGGTGGGTTAAGGCCAGGGACGGTAGCATAGGATGGGTAGTAGGAAAGGATCAGCAGTAGACATTCTGCGGCAGGTGGAGTCCTCCAGTGGCCTGGTTGAGCTTGTGGTCATGGTTCTGATGGTCCTGAAGGCAAAGAAAAACATCTCCCTACCTTGGTTTGTTGAGACATCTGGCCTGTTTTTTGGGCTTTCCTCACCAGGACCAGATAGTAAAGCAAACAGCCAGCATAGCCGTCAGATGCTATACAGCAGCTCGGTACTTTGGCCCTGTTGCTCCTGATTGGGCTCAGGTTCTTATTGCTTATGTAGTATCTGTTCTTCACCCTTCAAGTCCAACCGCACCCTCGTGAATTATGACCCCATGGATGAAATCCAGATTGCTGAGATCAACTCCCAAGTACGGCGGTACCTGGAGGGGACGCTGGACGAGATTGACGTAAGGAAGCCTGCTGTGGGACCACCACCAGGCTCAACTCTCGTGGACTTCTCTTACTGAGTACTGTGATGTGGAATGGAGTCCTTAGATGGGAAGTGGTGTAGGCCCTAGTCAAATGCCTACAGTCCACCACGGCCTAAGCTTCCATGTTTAGGGTTACAAATCCTAAAGTGAGCTATACACAGTATATGTACCAAAGGTCGTCCATATCAGGGGTGTGGGAACAGACCTTGAAGCGAAGCTGCTCTGATGGAATCCCAGGTACCCCCTTGCTGAGTGACCTGGACTGAATGATCAGTAGCCTCACCTGTGCAGCAGAGACGGAAAGTAGGCTCAGGCTGTTCCCCCTTAGATAAGCTTGGCTGTGCCTGGTGGGTGAAGCTAATAAAGGATTGTAGTCAGGTTGATCGTCATTAAAGAAGGTCCTCCCCCCCTCCCCCTGGAGCCCACTGTTGGAGTGTAAAAGAAGAAAGCAGCAGGCACACGGGAGGGCTGGGGAGCAGAATGAATCTCATTTACAGTGCAGCCACTGAACCTCTCACCAGGGAACTACATGGGCTGTTGTCTCTCTCCTCCACCATGTCAATGTGGGTGGGAGCAAAGGGGGGTCTCAGGCAACTGAAGTTTGGTGGCGTTTCTAGAACAAGAGGGCATCAAACCAACCTTGAATCAAGTTTAGTGTTCATAGGCTGCTAACTTTCCTCCAGCTGCACATGTGTGTGTGTCTGTGCCCAAACAAGAAGGTTCATTAATGGAGCCCATCTTAACCTTCTGGAAGTGGAAGAAAGCTAGTTAAGTAATTTTATCTTTTTTTAATGGTTATTTTTATTTGTTTACATTTCAAATATTGTTCCCCTTCCTGGTTTCCCCTCCACAAACCCCCATCTCACTCCTCCCTTCTGTTCCTATGAGAGTGCTCACCCACCCACCCACTCTCACCTCACCACCCTAGCATCTCCCTATGGGTCATTGAGCCTCCACAGGACCAAGGGCCTTCCCTCCTATTGATGCCAGATAAGGTCATTCTCTGCTGCATATGCAGCTGGAGCCATGGGTCCCTCCATGTGTACTCTCTGGTTGGTGGTTTAGTCCCTGGGAGCTCTGGAGGGTACAGTTAGTTGATATTGTTGTTCTTCCTATGGGGTTGGAATCCCCTTCAGCTCCTTCAGTCCTTCCCCTTACTCCACCATTGGGGTCCCCATGCTCAGTCTGATGGTTGGCTGCAAGCATCCACATCTGTATTGGTCAGGCTCTGGTAGAGCCTCTCAGGAGACAGCTATATCAGGCTCCTGTCAGCAAGTGCTTCTTGGCATCAGCAATTGTGTCTGGGTTTGGTGTCTGCAGATGGGATGGATCCCTAGGTGGGGCAGTCTCTGGATGGCCTTTCCTTCAGTTTAATATAGTCTTTTCTTTAGGGAATATTTGTACTAATTTTCCTCATTGCTGTGACAATGACAATATATCTGACAAAAGCAATATGAGACAGGAATGGTTTGTTCTAATTCACAGATGATGTAGCCCATCAGGGCAGAGAAGGCAGAGTGGCAGAGGCTTGAGGCTGGTCAGACTGTACACAGTCAGGAAGCAGAGAGAGCAGGAGTGCTAGGGTTTATCTCCCTGGATATTTCCTTCCTTCCTTCCTTCCTTCCTTCCTTCCTTCCTTCCTTCCCTCCCTCCCTCCCTCCCTCCCTCCCTCCCTCCTTCCTTCCTTCCTTCCTTCCTTCCTTTAAACAAAATGTAATGTACATTGGTGTCTTGCCTGCATATATATCTGTGTGTGAGGGTATCTGATCTCTTGGACCTGGAGTTACAGACAGTGAGACCTGCCATGTGGGAGCTGTGAATGGAACCTGGGACCTCTGGGATACCAGCCAGTGCTATTAACCATTAGGTCATCTCTCGAGCCCACTTTCTTTTTATTCTGTCTGAACCTAACCTATGGAATGAAACTGTATCCATTGATGGTGAATTTCCTCATTAGTTGACTCAGTCTAGAAAGTCTCAGTCTAGATGTGCCCAGAGAGGTCTGTCTCCATGGAATTTTAGATCTGTTGACAGCATTAACCATTATTGTATCTTAAAGTAGCACTGTCCCTAGAGATTTCCATTCTAAAAGTATTTTTGTTGTTGGTCATGGTGGCACATGCCTGTATTCCAGAATAGCATTTGGGAGGCTGAGGCAGGTGACTTCAAGGCTACTCTGGACTATGCAGTTAGATTTTTTTCTCATAAAACAAAAAGTGAGGACTGGAGAAATGGCTCAGCATTTAAGAGTACTTGATGTTCTTGCAGAAGACCCAGGTTCAGTTCCCAGTACCAATGTGCAGCTCATGGCAGCCTGTAACTCCAGTTTCAGGGGATCTATTGTCCTCTTCTGGTCTTTGAGGGCACCAGGCATATACATACATGCAGGCAAAGAACTCATACACATAAAAATAAATAAATCTTTAAAAATATACACATACATACACATATCTGAGTGTGGATTTGTACTTTGCATAGGGTACCTATGGAAACAGAAAGAGAGTGTTACCCCATGGAACTGGAGCTAAAGACAGTTGTCAACTTTCTGATGTGGGTGAGGGAACTAAGAGAAATGTATGCTTTTAACTGCTCAAAATGAGATGGTTGAGAGTCAGCCAAGGGCTCTTGACTTTTCTGCTTAGACACAGCCTGTTGGTACTGTGGTTTAATCTCTGCTTTGCTCTCTTCTGCCAGATAATCAATCTAAGACAGATTCAGGAGGTATTCAACCAGTTCAGGGTGGTTCTGAGGTAAGTTTCTCCTCACTCTCTTTCACACTCCATTTTCATTTTTTATGGCCTGGACAATTGCCTTCAAGAAAACCCTCATATGTGTGAGAGATGTGTGCATGTTTGTGTGTGAAGAATGTTCTCTGCCACATAACAAACCCGATCTGCGTGCTCAGGGTGTGTGCAGGTCCCTGATGGGTGTTTGTTGAGTTCTTTAATTGGACAGGAACTCTCTGGAGTGCCAGCTGTGAGTGTGCTCAGAGCCAGGCCTCATGAATCCTCCGTGTCCACTACCTCAAGGAGCACTCAGTTTATTTGAGTACAGATCTACCCATTGTCTGAGCAGCCAATGCTAGTCGGTACTAGACTGGTCATTTGATCCCAAAGGGACTGTTAGAACCTAGGTGACATCATAGTCCCCATGAAGGTCTACAGGCATTATTACATGTCATCTTAGAGCTGACGCACCTGGCATGGAAGGTGCTCTATAGGTTTCCCCAAACCTACCTCAGTGGTCCAGAGAGTTCCTGTCCTATTAACGAACTCAACAAACACCCATCTGGGACCCGCGCATACCCTGAGCACGCAGATTGGGTTCGTTACATAGCAGGGATTGGACAGTGTGGGGATGTATATATTGTGAAAAGGGATGGGCCTTTTTTTTTTTATGGTGAGGCTGTGCCTCCATCATCAGGGCTTTACCTAACCAACTTTTAATGTAGCATTTGGGTCTCAGCCCAGTGGACTGAGCATATCCCCCATTACAAAGTTTTATCTTACTCTTTCTCCCAAGCCAACAGGAGCAGGAAGTAGAGTCTGCTTTGCGCAGGAAGTACACTCTCATAGACAAAAATGACTTTGCAGCCATTTCTGCTGTCCAGAAGGTAAGCACATCACCTTCTTGCTAACATCACTCACTTCAGACTTTCCATCTTTGGGGGGACTTTGGCAGAAACTGCAATTGTCATCCAAGTACCCAGATCAAGATAACAACAGAATGAACATGGCGTGTCCTGGGCAAGAGTAAACCACTTTAGGGCCTGGAGAGAGTGCTCAGTCAGCAAAGTGGTTGCTGCACAAACATGAGGCCCTCAGTTCAATTCCCAGAATCATGTGAAGCTGAGCATGGTGGCGCATCCTTGAAATGCAAGCTCTGGGAAGGCATAGACAGATCTCTGGGACTCTCTAATCAGCCACCCTAGCATAGTTTGGGAGTTCCGGGCCAATGAGAGACCCAGCAACAGACTGTTCCTGAAGAATAACATTCAAGGTTGGCCTCTGGTCTCCACATCTACATACATACATACATACATACATACATACATACATACATACATACACAGAAAAAATAGTATACCTCTTTTGCATTTAAAATAATGTCCATAAATTGTACGTATGGCTTAAGCTATAGATGACCAATACTTAGAGCTAGGTTGGAAATAGGTTTTAAGATCTATAGGGAGACGGATGTGGTAACATATGCCTTTGATTTCAGCCCAGGAGGTTGGATTATTAGGAGGCCAATATGGAAAGTAGACATGGATTTTTCTAGGGTTCAGGGACAGCTCTATTAAGGACAGCATGAAGCTGGTAGAAACAGCCAAATCTTGGTGTGTGTGGAAAACACGCTTACCCCAGGGTTTACACCACGAACACCTGCATTCCGTAGAGGCCCAAACCTCTAATAGAACGTATGCCCCTTGTCCTGCTCTCTCTATCCAGGCGGGGCTTATGGATGTAGAAGTTCAGCTAGTAGGTGAGCCCGATGGACAAAGCTTTGGACTTGGGGTTGCTCCTTTCTCTGTCAAACCTGGGAAGAAACCTAAGACTAAAAAGACGCTGAAAGACCAGTACAGGTGAGAGCTCTCTTCTCTGTCTCCTTGGCCCCTAGGCTCCTTGGTAGACAGAGGGCACAACATGGCCTCCCTGTTCTCCCATGATACCTGAGCTACCAGTGCTCTCCACTGCACTGTTGCCAATGCAGCAGTTGGGTAATCTGTGGGAAACCTGAGGGTTCAGGTCAGGGCCATGCCCCAGTGTTATGACTCATCCTCATAGCACCCCCAGTGTTTCCACCTCACTGAGTTCCTTCCAATGTTCCAGCCCTGTTATAGTAGGGTTATAGGAAGCACTGGGCCAGCCCTGGCAGCACTAGGGCACCGCTGTGCTCACCGGCTGTACTTCTGTGATACCTCTGACTCTTTGACCTGCAGCTACCACTCAAGCTACAGAAATCTTAAATTTGCCTTTTAGGTGAGACTGGGGGAGGCTGAGAAGGAGTCTCACACTATAGCCAAGGATGGCTGGTTTCAGATATATGATGATCCTCCTGCCTCATGTGCTCAAAAGGGTCCCATCTCAGCCAGCTAAGACTCATTTTTATGCAAAAGTTGGAGAAAGCGTTTTCCCCAGTTTGCTGCCCAGGTGATACCTGGTCGCAGTAGTCAGAGCACGGGATTCAGAGCACAGGATTCAGAGTCAAGACCTGGGCACATCTCCCTTCTCTGTGCTTCTTAATCCTGAGAGACGTCCTCATGGGAGGCATGAGAACTGATCTGTGACTGTTTCTGTGTCCCAAAAATGGATACGGAAATGATTATAATGAGAGCATCAGCACTAAGGGCACTGTGGGCAGTGTAAGCTAGGGCATGCAGTCCTTCCACATGGCAAGTGCTACGTGCAAGCCACGAGTCATGTAGCAGAGAACGTACCTCTTGCCTGCTATGTCCTGGGCCTCTCCTTTCTGCTGCAGGGAGATGGAATAATAACTTACATGAAGACTGATCCTCTCAGCAGCACACATTGTAAGAAGAAAGGGGGCTGGGTGTGTTATCCATGCCTAGAATCCCACCACCTAGGAGGCTGAGGCCATAGGAGTGTGGATTCAGGGCTGGTGAGATGGCTCCACAGATAAAGGTGCTTGCTACACAGCCTAAGGACCTCATCTGTGGAACTTACATTACAGTAGAGGAGAACAAATTACACTGTTCTGTGGCCTCCCCCTCTCCCAATCATGGACTCTTGTCACACACAATAAAAAAGCATATGTGTTGAGGCCTCCTTGGATGATATGGTACAACCATCGCACAAAAAAGAAAAAGAAAAAAGAGGAAAGGAAGAGGGAAGCAAGAAGGGGGAACAAATGGAGGAAGCGAAGCTGAAAGGAAAGACTGATAAAGGGTGTGGGGATGGAGCTCTGCTGGTGCGGTATCTGCCTAGCATGCACAAGGCCCTGGGTTTGATGTTCAGTACTACATAAACTGAGAATAGTACCATACTCCTGTAGCCTGAGCAGGAAGATGGAAAGGACAAAATTGTCCTCAGCTACCTAGGGAGTTGTAAGCTTGAGATACATGAAATCCTCTTTTACTCTAATAGAAATTGAAAAAAAAATTAAAAACAAAAAAACAAAACACTGCACTGACTCAGCTCCTAATACCCACATCAGGTGACTCACAACTGCCAGAAACTCCATCTCCATGGATATCTCACATCTCTGGCCTCTTAGGGTACTAGGGTACTGCTCTTGTGTACACGCGCGTGCGCGCACTCTCTCTCTCTCTCTCTCTCTCTCTCTCTCTCTCTCTCTCTCTCTC